AGCGCCCAAACCCCCTGATCGCCCTGTGGCTCTGTGTGTGACAGGGGGCGGGGCCCCAACCCCCTGAGCAGCCCTGCTCTGTGCCTGATGGGGGGAGCTCCCCAACCCCCCCCCCCCCACGGGCCCTTTTCTATGTGTGATGGGGTAGAGCCATAACCTCCCCATCAGCCCTGCCCTGAGTGTGAGAGTGGCGGCGCCCCAACCCCCTGATTGTCCCTGCTCTGTGGGTGACGGGGGCAGCGCCCCAACCCCGATTGGCCCTGCTCTGTGCGTGACAGGGGGTGGCGCCGCAACCTCCCCATCGACCCTGCCTTGAGTGTGACAGGGGACGATGCCCCAACCCCCCAATTGGCCCTACCCTGAGCGTGACTGAGGGTGGCATCACAACCTCCCAATCTGCCCTGCTCTGTGCATGATGGGGCGGCGCCCCAACTCCCCAATCGGCCCTGCTCTGAGCCCGACCAGGGGCTGCACCTAGGGATTGGGCCTGCCCTCTGCCACCCGGGAGCAGGCCTAAGCCAGCAGGTCATTATCTCCCGAGGGGTCCCAGACTGCGAGAGGGCACAGGCCGGGCTGAGGGACCCCCCCCCCCCCCCGAGTGCACAAATTTTTGTGCACCGGGCCTCTAGTAAATAAATAAACAAATAAATGAGATATAGAGGAACCTAAGCCCAAGTTCCTGCAGAGTAACAAAGGGATGGAGCTGAGTAGCAGCTGGTCCTTAGATGGGGCACGTGCTATCTGCTATTTCTGACAATTGCCCACATTTATTATCCATCTGGCCTACTTCACTGATTGAGCAGCAAAAACCATGGGGACATGAGAATTTGCTACTCCTAAACGATAGGACAGTAAACTAAGTCAATAAAGATTTTTGTTTGCTTTTTAAGAGTGATCTTTTGTGAGCACCTACACTGGACAAGTTATCTTCTCCCAGGTCACTTTTAGTGTGATGATTTTCTTAAAAGGTTCCAAATAATTTGTTGTGGTCTTTAAGAAGACCACAATAGTTAAGAAGAATCAATTAAAAGTGACTGAAAGGCCATTTGGAATAGAATGCCTGAGCTAAAAGATCAAAATCAGTGGGGTATTCAATTAACAGAGGTTAAAATCCCATAGATCCTTATGTTAAAAAGCATTTATGACATGTACAGAATAAAAGAGTAGTTCTTCACAAGAGTGATATGTTTACATGACTAAAAAGTATTTCACAGTTAGAAAGCACCAATATTTCACATACTAATATTCTTTTTTTGTTTGTTTGTTAATCCTCACCCAAGGATATTTTTCCATTGATTTTTAGAGAGAGTGGAAGGGAGAGGTAGAGACAGCGAGAGAAACACTGCTGTGAGAGAGACACATCAATTGGTTGCTTTCCGCATGTGCCCCAACCAGGGCTGGGTATTGAGCTTGCAACCAAGGTACGTCCTTGACTGGAATCAAACCTGGGACCCTGCAGTCCATAGGCCAACGCTCTATCCACTGAGCCAAACCAGCTAGAGCTAATATTCTAATTTTTAATCTGATGTTGATAAAACCCTTGTGCTGTAAGGTTGGCTAGGCAGATCTTATTGCCCCTCACAGATACCAAAGCATAAAAAAGACAAGAGCCTTCACTAAGGTCACCCTAGTTAGTATGGCATAGATAGGCTCAGAATCCAGTTGTGTTAACTCGTAAGTCCTGTGGCTCCTTCCATTACAATACACTGCCTCTACTGCCTCTCATCTACTACTGTCCTACAAAGTGTACAAAAGCTATTCAGGGATTACAGAGAAACGTGGTTCAACAGGAGACTGGAAGTATCCATTCAATGACTCTGCACCAAAGTCTACAAAATTCATTCTGATTTCAAGAACAGAACTGGCCCTTCACCTACTTTCAGATCCCCAAAGGAAAGTCATTCATTTCTATGGAACTGCTTGGCACTGCATTTGTATATCATACATATCTCTTGTCTTACCAATTATTTTGAAAGATTTTCCAGGAGACGGCAACTGTTATGCTGCATTTTGCGTCCAGTGTAAATGCTCAATACTTCATTATTTATACACAAAATTTAATAAATAACTCATCTTTCATTTCAAGAAACAAAGGCTAGAAACAGCCTTCATTAATTTTCAGATATAATGACAAAGACATTTAAATTGTAATATGAAGGAAACAAAAATAAGAAAAAGTAGCTAGGGATATAAGTTTTGTGTTTATAAACCTTAAAGAATTAAGCCCTTTTTTTCTCATCAGCTGAAAAAATAATTAGAAAAAGAAAATCTAACTTTAGAGGGTTAACATGATTTTACATATAATATTTAAGATTTTTTTTTACTTAAAAATATAAAAATACATATAGACATCTGAATTTGCTACCCCTAAGCACCAATAAAAATCTTTGTTTTAGCTTAATGATTTTCTTGTTTTTAATCCTCACCCAAGGATATATTTAGTGATTTTAGAGAGAAAGGAGGGAGAAAGAGAAACATCAATCGGTTACCTCTTCTACGTGCCCTTTTAGGTTTATGCACATAAAGCCTTCATGAGGCATGGCATTTTATTTATTTATTTTATTTTTTGTTAATCCTCACCATTTAAAAAATTTTTTTTATTGCTTTCAGAGAAGAAGGGGGAGGGAGAGATATAGAAAAACCAATGATGAATCATTGATTGGCTGTGAGGAAAGGCATTTTAAATCTTTACTTAGAATGAAAATCAGCCCTAGCCAGTTTGGCTCAATGGCTAGAGTGTCAGCCTTCAGACTGAAGTGTCCCAGGTTCGATTCCGGTCAAGGGCACATGCCCAGGTTGTGGGCTCGATCCCCAGTAGGGAGCCTGCAGGAGGCAGCCAATCAATGATTCTCTCTTATCATTGACTAGAGGCCCGTTGCACAAAGATTCGTGCAATAGGCCTTCTTTCCCCTGGCTGCCAGCACCAGCTTTCCTCTGGCACTCAGGACCCAGACCTTCCCTCTGGCCACGGCCTTCCATCTTCGCTCTGGACACAGTTTTCGCTGCGGCTGGAGCCTTCAGTCTTTGCTCCTCGCTCCAGCAGGAGTGTTCAGTCTCCGGCCAGAGCTGCTCCTGTAGCTCCTTGCGCCCCCTACTCTCCCCCTCATAGCTTGATGGCTGCTTTGCCTGAAGACCTCGCCAACGGGCTCCTGGGTTCCAGGGGGCCACCTTGCCTGCGGCCCGGCCTTCCGATCACGATCACGGGCCGCAGGCAAGGCGGCTCCTGGGACCCGGGATGCCGCCTTGCCTGTGGTCTGGCTTTCCGATCTCAATCACGGGCCGCAGGCAAGGTGGCTCCTGGGTCCCGGGGTGCTGCCTTGCCTGCGGCCCGGCTTTCCGATCACGATCACAGCCGCAGGGTCCTGCCGCCCAGGGCCACACACAGAGGTCCCAGCTGGGGGCGGGGCATAGGTGGCACGTTGGCACCCTCAAGCCCCACTGCCCAGGGCCGCACACGGGGGTCCCAGCTGGCGACGGGGCTTAGGCGGCACACGGGGGCCCGGATGGCGGCTGGCACTGGCTCACCCTGCCTGCAGTATGCAAATTAGCCGCCATATTTGTTGGTGGTTAATTTGCATATCGTGCTGATTAGCCAATGGGAGGCGTAGCAAAGGTATGGTCAATTACTATGTTTGTCTATTATTAGATAGGATGTTTTTCTCTCTCTCTCCCTCTCACTTCCTCTGGGGGTGGGGAATGAAAATCAGAGAGTAAGTAGGTAAAATAAAAATCTAGAAAAGAAATACAGCCCCTTAATTTGGATTAGAACAAGAGCAACATTTTATCCCTGCACAATGACAATGCCTGGATATACACCAATGAGTGGAAACTTAACTTTACACATCAACTAATTTCAGAACACTTATTTTTCTCTGTCAAGTACTATCCAAGGACTCCCCAGCAAGACTTAATGCCATGCTACTAATAATTTACTATAGCACCATTTACAAGAGCAGATTTTTGGAAAACTAAATCATTTGGGGATTGGTTAAACAATGGAATACCATGCAACTTTTAAAAAAAGAGAGAAAAACCTCTCTTTGTATGTTGTATTTGTTTGTTTGATTAAATATGTTTTCACTGAGTTTTTGAGAGAGAGAGGAAGGGAAAGGGAGAGAGAGATAGGAAACTTTGATGAGAGAGAAACATCAACATCGAATGGCTGCCTCTTGCACATCCCCTACAGGGTATTAGGCATGTGCCCTGACGGGGAATCAAACCAGGACCTCCTGTTACATGGGTTGACCACTGAGTCACACTGGCCAGACTTATATTTGTTTTTAATCCTTGATTTTAAAAAAACTTATGGTTTTAATTTTGCTTAGCTTCAGTTTGAAGTGCAACTTTCACTAATAACTGCAATAAAAAGAAAAGCTTTGCTACAAAAAGGAAACAATCTACTGTGGCACAGAATATTAGAAGTACATAAAGTTTTAAGGTAAACAAAACACTTTCAAAAAAATGTCATGCTGCTTCTAATTCTGATCTCAGGGGCCTAGAAGTACACACATTTATTCTCTTAACCCCTGAAGAGGCAGGAAGGGTTGAGAACTACTACACCAAGGACATTAAAATAGCATTCTCAATGGCAGTGGAAAGGGCAAAGGATTCAAGCTAGACAGATCTTGATATGCAGCCCAGTTCTTGCCACCAGGTGACCTTAGATCAGTTCCTTAACCTTGAGCTCAGAGCCTCAGTTTCACCATCTATAAAATGTGGTCAATACCACTTACCTTGTAGTTTTGTTATAAGGATTGGAATTAATGTATGTTAAGCAAACTGCCTGACTCTAGAAGGAATAAAATAATGATGGCTATTATTACAGCCATCACAAGCCTATTAGAATGTTTATTTGACTATCTATAACCATTTATTTTGATTCAATTTATGAGAACAAGATAAGGTGGCCAATGGATATTATATGCTCTCTCAACCAATCACAGAAAGAAAATAGGCCAATAGGATAAAATTACCTAGGTGAAACACTTTATTATACTCACATATTTCATTTCAAACTTCTTAGCCAACATTTCCACTTCTTGCCTCTCTTTATGCTCATCATTAAATGGGTCTTCTGTGTGAATGGGCTTCTTCTGATTCAATGTGAATGGGAAAAGAAATAGAAGTATTAGTATTAATTCAATCAGAGTTGAATATATATCCTTAAATTTAATAATGAGAATCATTTTTTCCAAATATTAACAAATAATAAGTTAAAAGCATTAAAAAAAACTAGAAAGAAATGTTGGTTTGTAATAAAAAATATTTACAGTTTTAACTGATTTTTATACATTGTAAATTTTTTTTGGCGGATAAGAACTTAACAATGCAAACTGTCGCTTCTGTAAAATGACTGTATGGTCACCCCATTCAAAAGAAGGCAAAAGAACTGTAAGAAAATTAGGTAAAAATAAAAACCCTGCCCTGACCGGCTTGGCTCAATGGATAGAGCGTCGGCCTGTGGACTGAAGGGTCCCAGGTTCCATTCCAGTCAGGGCATGTACCTTGGTTGCGGGCACATCCCCAGTAGGGGGTGTGCAGGAGGCAGCTTATCGATGTTTCTCTCTCATCGATGTTTCTAATTCTCTATCCCTCTCCCTTCCTCTCTGTAAAAAATCAATAAAATATATTAAAAAAAACAACAAAAAAACACCCACTTATAACTATAGTTTGAGATCGTCCCAACAAAGATTAACTGCTTTGGTCAGGAAATGCTTCTAAAGGAATCTCTAGGTTATTAATTTAGAGTCAGCATTTAATCATCTGCCCTGTGTTATCACTAGGTTATCTATAGCTGCTTTGGCTTTCTGCTGAGGCCCAGCATCAACCTCTACATCGCCTACATCCTGTCAACGGATATCCAATCAGGGAATACATTTCACTTTTAAACAAAGCTAGAAAAGCGAAAAAACTGCAAATAGAAAACATTACAGTTTACTTCTATCAAGGGAGAGTGAAAGTTTATTATAATATGTATTAATCACACACAGCTAGGATCCCACATTTTCCATTTTTACCAAAACAAAGTTTAAATAAACAAAACAAACTAAAAAATAAATAACATCTTTTACTAAAGTTTACTATTTTAACAGAAATATTTCATACATATGGCTTTTCAATATACAAAAAAGCCAAAACAAAGAGCTACAAAACAATTGACTAGAAAGTTAATTTTTTTAAAAAAAGGGAGGCTACATGTTTTTATTGAAGTAGCATCTCAAGTAATTAATAATGAAAGTATGTGAAAATTTGAAATACTGGATAGAGATTTGGTTAACCCTGAAGGGCAAGCAAAAAAAATGCACAAAGGACAAATATGTGCAAACTGTGAAATTGAGACACTTCATTCTGGATACAAAGGCTGAGATATAATCAGTCTAAAAAATATGACAGAAAAAATGGACAAGATGAATCCAAAACAACTCATCATACTTAGGACATTTTTTAGAATAAAGGGATAATCATTAAAGTCTAAAGGAAATAATTTTAGAATCAATTTTTAAAATTATTATAACTAATAAACTACAGAATCCTTTATAAGAGTTACCAATGGAAAATATAAACATGGTCCGAAAGGAAATAGACTAATAATAAAATAAGAAATACTAGGCATGTTCAGGGTATGACTTTATGTTAAGACTAAAGTTAAGGACATTAAGGACAGTGAGCAACCACCATGCCTTGCCATTATAAACTGTTCATGTCACTGTGAAGTCCAAATATTAGGTCTTACTACTGGTCTGACTAGTTTTACATGTGCAAACAAACACTTTTTTTTTTTTTAAATAAGAACACCTTATATGACATTCTAAAATATCTTACGTAGACTTTATATAGGCATCAAAAGTAAATCTCATATTTACTCGACAATCTACAAATATAACTTTACAAAACTTACTCACTTACTTTTCTTTCACAGTTAAGAAATAACTCCCTACCTATAATCAAGGCTCTAAGTAAGTTGTATGATTTTTCAGGTGAAAAAGATCTGAAAATTAGTAAATATCGAAATTACCAACTGCCACCAGGCAAAACTGAGACAGTAATTTTGTTCTTTGACCTTAACTCAAAACCATTTTCAGGAGATCTTTCATATATGTTAACCAAAATATGCAATATAAAAAGCAGTGGGCCCTGGACTGTGTGGCTAACTCTGTGGTCGGCAAACTACGGCTCGCGAGCCACATGCGGCCCTTTGGCCCCTTGAGTGTGGCTCTTCCTAAGCCTTAGGAGTACCCTAATTAAGTTAATAAGAATGTACCTACCTATATAGTTTAAAAAATTTGGCTCTCAAAAGAAATTTCAATCGTTGTACTGTTGATATTTGGCTCTGTTGACTAATGAGTTTGCCGACCATTGGGCTAGCTTGATTGAGCACCTTCCCATGCACAGAGAGGTCACCAATTCAATTTCTGGTCAGGGCACATGCCAAGTTTCAGGTTTGATCCCCAGTAAGGAGTATGCAGGAGGCAGCCAATCGATGTTTCTCTCTATCATTAATGTTTCTCTCTCTCTGACTTCCTCTATCTCTAAAATCAATTGAAAAAAAATTCTGAATTAAAAAAAATACATTTTTTTCAAAAGGCAATGGAATACTCTAGAATTCTATAACCGTATAATCACGTTAACACGATTATCTTTATTTTTCCTTTTATAGTAAACTAGAGGCCCGGTGCATGAAATTCATGCGGGGGGGCGGGGGGGGCGGGGGGACCCCTTGGGGGATGTCTGACTGCAGGGATCGGGTCTAAAATGGCAGTCGGACATCCCTCTTGCAATCCGGGACCACTGGCTCCTAACTGCTCCCCTGCTGGCTTGATTGCCCCCCTAACTGCTCCCCTGCTGGCCTGATCACCCCTAACTTCCTGTCTGCCAGCCTTATCGCCCCTAACTGCTCTCCCCTGCCAGCCTTATAGCCCCTAACTGCCTCTGCCTCAGCCCCCGCCCCCATGACTTTGTCCGGAAGGATGTCTGGATGGATGTCCAGAAGATGTCTGGTCTAATTAGCATATTACCCTCTTATTAGTATAGAAAATATTCAATGAATCATTCTGGATATACAAAAAGCCAAAACAAGCCCGGCCGTGTGGCTCAATGGCTGAGCATAGAACTATGAACCAGAAGGTCGCATGCCAGGGTTGCAGGCTTGATTGTGAGCTTAATCCCCAGTGGGGGGAGTATAGGAGGTAGCCAATCCATTATTCTCTCTCATCACTGGTATTTCTATTCCTCTCTCCCTCTCTAGAATCAATAAAATTAAAACAAAAAACAAACAAAAAAAAGCCAAAACAAATTCATGTTCGGTTTTTCTGGTTTACTAGGAGTCAAAACATTTTTTCTTTTGTAGCAATTACTGCCAAAATGTATTCCTAAATTGTACTATTTCCCTTTAGCCAGAAATGGTGAACAAATTAATCTTTCAGGATAGAGATGATTGCAATGCCTCAGTCATCATCCTGAACCACTTAATGAGGACTCAATACTCTACAGAAGTAACAAAGGTTAAGGGGTTTAGCTAACCTGTGTCCTGACAACCTGGAAGGATATTTTGATTTTCATATTTTGCCAACATTTGCTCATTTAATTTCACTTTTCCTCATTAATAAAAAATATAGAGTATAGAAAAAATTCTATACTGCATTCAGTTAATTAGGGTTTTATTGTTCATTTTGTATTTATGAAGGGGGATGATTTAAGTACACCTCAATATAGATGGTATTCACAGGTAACACATTCTTTATACCTATACCTATCAACTTAAGGATCTAAAGCTAAAATTTTTTTATTCAATGATAGATGGCTATTTCAAAATTTTAGAATCTTTTTCTTTTAACTTTTATAAGATCTCTCTTCCTCCCCTTTCCAGTCTTACTCTGCTATATGGTATGCTGTTCAATTACAATAACTCAAAATTAAAACTATTTAGAAAATATTACAACGTCCCTAAAAATAACTGGATTCCCCCTAAAGGGAAGAAAAACCAAATTTGGGAATTATCACTTTCCAGACCAATTATAATGTCCACACTTTGCTTTTTAATGGTCTCTCTTCCTAGGATTTCCTTTCATGGGTCTACGACAACTTTATTTTAGAAAAGTATTTTCTATAATTATGTAATGAATATGTTCATTGGAAGCAATCATAGGAAAATCTGACAAATCTTTGCTGCAAAGATGCATTAACGTCCTCCTTTGTAAAATGGAGATAATGGTTCCTACCTCATGAAGTTCTGCTGCACAAAACTAGATAAACCATGCACCATACTTACAACTGTACCTAGCACACTGTAAGAAATAAGTAAATGTTAGATGTATTTTCACTCAAAAGGATGCTTTTCATCTGCAATTTATAACAGATTAAGAAGTAAAACTGCAACCTACTTAAATTAGAAGAAATACAATTTATTTGAAAAATACAGCAATCCAATATTTTCAAAAATATTTTTGGGGAAAAAGTGACATAATATTTGTAAGTAACAGGGGCACTAAAATGAGCTTAATAGGCAAAATGTTATGAGGAAGTAACCAAAATTATCTCTGCCCTTAATTCATTTTGGTTGAAAACATTTAGTAATGATTTGACCAAATAGCATTTGTAAATAATGATCAAAAGATTAGTTGGCCATAAAGAAAACCTAGTGACACTGTTTAAAATGATTATTTTTTAAACTAAGAAGTCATTCATTTCAACTATAAAGATAGTTGAGGATTGCCTAGCTCGCATGGTTCAATAGATGAGTGTGGACCAGTGAACCAGGAGATCACCGTTTGATTCCCAGTCAGGGCACATGCCCAGGTTGCTGGCTCGATCCCCAGTGTGCAAGAGGCAGCCGATCAATGATTCTCTCTCATCATTGATGTTTCTATCTCTCTCTCCCTCTCACTTCTTCTCTAAAATCAATTAAAAAATATATTTTTAAAAAAGATAGCTGAGCCCTGACCAGTTTGGCTGTGGATAGAGCATCCGCCTGCAGACTGAAGGGTCCCAGGTCCAATTCTGGTCAAGGGCATGTACCTTGGTTGCCGGCACATCCCCAGAAGGGGGTGTGTGCAGGAGGCAACTGATCCATGTTTCTCTCTCATCAATGTTCCTTCCTCTCTGTAAAAAATCAATAAAATATATATTTTTAAAAAAATAGATAGCTGAGGATAAAAACAAAACAAGTGATTTCTGGAGTCCCCTAGACCTGTGCTTAAAGCAAAACCTAATAAAGAACATAACTTCTAAACAAGGGGAAACTATTCTCTTATTACTGTTACTCTATCATTTCCCTTTTTAGTTTACTTCTGAAAATCACAAACGCATGACAAAAATTACAATTACCAACAAACCTCTCTTCTATCTCCATTGTTACCATTTCGGTCAAAGGCACAGCTATACATTATCAAGTTTTTAAAAATTCAAAGCTAACTTGCTTTTCATCCTTCTCCAAAAATTACAATGGCCGAGTGCAATCCCCTTCAACTCAAACTTAAGAACTAATGATACGCTTTCAAATAAGAAAGTGGTAGTTGGTGCCAAAGGAAACAGGAGAGTCACCTTCCCATTCAATTACAAAACGAAACCCCGGAGAAAACAAACAGAGAAAGGCTTACCAATATTCACACAGGAAAGAAAAGCAAGTAACCAGGTAACTAACACTTCCCCTCCATTTTTAAAGTGGAATTCTTAGTCTGAAAATGTCTAGATCATTTTTAAATCCCCTTCCATTCAGAAAAGCCCTGCACGCTCCCCAGCGCGCCTCAGCGGCCACAGCGCCGAGCACAACAAACAGGGATGGAGACCGGGCTGACACGCGAGGGGACACGATTCCCTGGCCCGACTGGGAGGAGGGGCGTGTCCCCCAAGGCTCTCGCTTCCTCTCTACCGGAAAGGACAGCTGGAGCCCCACACGGAAAACCCACCCACACGACTTGCAGGGCCCTCCGAATTTGTGTGGGAAGCAAGAAGAAAGGAGGAAAATCGGCTGTTTCGAAAGGTGCGGAGGAAAACCGGCTCGGAGCGGCCTTCGGCTCACGATGGGGGTCGGTGGAGCCGGGGGTGAGGGGGTGGGGTGGGGCCCCGCGGCTCACCCCGAGAAGCAGAGGAAAACTAGCGCCAACCACTGGTCCACCCGCTCAGCCCCTGCCCCCTCCACCAGCCCGCCCTCCAGGGCGACCCGAGCCGCGCAGAGTGGGCGTCAGGAAGTGCAAACCGCTGGGGCAGGCGGACGGGTCCCGAGGCTGCCGGGGTCTCGGGGAGGAGGGAGGAAGCTTCTGTACCCGTTGTTCTCCGCACAGGAGCAGCTCCGGGTAACTGAACTCCACGCAGCTCTCGTCAGTCGGGTCCTTGAGCACCAGCTCCAGGCGCACCGTCTCCCTCGGCGGCCTCGCCGGCGGCTCCGGCCGGGAAGCCGCCTCCCGCGGCGGGGGAGGCTGCAAGGGAAGCTGCGGGAGCGGCGGCGGCGGCGGCTCGGGCCGCGGGGGCTCGCGCTGCAGCGCCATGGGCGGCTCGGGGCGGCTGCCCTCGCGCTGGGGGAGCGGCTTCTCCCGCGGCGGGGGCTGCGCGTCCGACCGAGGGGCAGCCTCCCGCGGGACCGGCTGCTCCGCCCGGACCGGCTCGCGGTGCGGCGGCGGCTGCGGCTCCAGCCGGGGGGGCTCGCGAGGGTACTCGGGCTCGCGCTCGGCCCCCGCGAACTCGGCCTCGCGCCGCCTCACCGGTGACAGGCTAATAAACGCTACTCTGCGTGGCTCCGCCATCCCTACTGTTCTGGCCCTCTGCCCTCGCTCGCGCCGGCGCTCCGGTCTACGCCGAGTTGTTTGCTTGTCCGCCCTTCCTCTTGCTCTCCGTCGTTTTTCTTCCCTCCACCGCCCTCCGCCGTTTCCGCCGACGCCACCGTGAGTGCGGACCGTGCCCGCTTCCCCGCCACTATGTCCTGACGGGCTCCACCGCCATCGCCAGGGTCGCCGCAGCCGCCATGTTGGATCCCCCACATAAATAGAAGCAGGCCGCGAGCGGGCGCATGCGCAGTCGGGAGACGCTCCCGTCCACCTTCGTGGCCGGGGCTCAGTTTTCCTCCCAACAGTCTGGGAGTCCAGACAGGTCAGCGGAAGTGACGTATGTCGAGGCCGGTTTCCTTGGAAACGGAGACGCTGTCTGCGCCCTTTCTAAAAGGGAGGGGTTTGGGGGAGTGGTGTTCCCGAGAATCTTCCTATTAGCATTCGGAAACCCGAGGCGCTAGCCGAGGGCGAGCGTCTGGATGTGCTGGGGACCGACCTCGTCATGGCGCTGGGTCTCCTCAGGCACGTGCCACCCGCTCTCGGCTCTGGAGTTGGGCTGTCAGGTGGTTATTCCAGGCGGATTCGGGGAAAGGGTAGAGGGACGCGAGGACCCGCCGAGGTACCTGCCCGCCCAGCGCTCCCGCAGCCCTAGGTTGTCGAGGGAAGAAAGGAAATGGCTAACTCCGGCCGGACTCGCCCGGCGGCTTCCCTCCGCTGAGCGCAACACTGACTCCCACAGGCCGCCCTTCCCGGGACCGACTGTTTCCTCGCTTAGCCGAAGGGGGAGGGGAGATTGTGTGTGGCAGGGTCGAAAAATGCTCAGAAACGTTGTGTAGTTGGGAAATGGAACAAGCAGCTCGGGGTCTCTCATAAGGACTAAAGTGTTTATTAATCGCAAAGTGCTTAAGAGGGCTTGGTGGTGTTTTAGGGGGCATACTCCCGAAGTGGGTGCTGAAGGATTCACTTCAGGGTGGGGGAGAATCCTGGATTGGGCACGCCTTGCAGGCACTCCCAGATAAACTAATTAGATTACACATTAAATGCGTGACGATTACTGTCCGTTTTCAGCCTTGAAGTAGGAAGTAAATTTCAGGGCTCGCCCTCCACATCCTGAAGGAAATCCTGTTAATTCCATTAACCGGATAAGAACAATGTCACCCATTGGCGATGCTCTGAGTCATGTGACGTCACAGACGAATTCCAAGTAGTTTCTCTCTTTTTTGCTCTCCTATTACGTTCCCTGAAGATGATGATGGAATATCAGTGATGGCGAACCTTTTGAGCTCGGGGTGTCAGCATTTTGAAAAACCCTAACTTAACTCTGGTGCCTTGTCACATATAGAATTTTTTTGGTATTTGCAACCACAGTAAAACACATATTTTTGATATTTATTTTATATATTTTTAACAAAGAGAAATCAACCAAAAAAATGAGTTCACGGGTCACCTCTGACACGCGTGTCATAGGTTCGCCATCACTGGAATAGATGGATCCAGAGGTCCCTCCCGGCTCTGAAATGCTGTCATTTTCCCTTGGCACTCTGTTTTACCTCCAGAATCCTCTTTCCCTTTGCTCCTCTTCTGATTCTACATGAGAGTCGCATTTTTGTCACCTTTCTGTCTAAAGCAGCTGTGGGCAAACTACGGCTTGGGGGCCTGATCCTGCCCGGTTTTGAAATGAATAAAACTAAAAAAAAAAAAAAAAAAAAAAAGACCGTACCCTTTTATGTAATGATGTTTACTTTGAATTTATATTAGTTCACACAAACACTCCATCCATGCTTTTGTTCCGGCCCTGGCCCTCCGGTCCAGTTTAAGAATCCATTGTGGCCCTCGAGTCAAAAAGTTTGCCCACCCCTGGTCTAAAGTCTCTTTTCCTCCAGTCTTGCAACAGAGTGATATTAGTATGTCTAAAATACTTTTATAGTATTATATCACTCTCTGTCCTAGCTGCAATGTAAGATGGTTTGCCCTCTGGAGTTAAAAGTTAGGAAAAACTTAATTGGCAATAGCAGAGACAAACAGAATCAACATTAATAGATAGTCTGGAGCCGAAACCGGTTTGGCTCAGTGGATAGAGCGTCGGCCTGCGGACTGAAAGGTCCCAGGTTCGATTCCGGTCAAGGGCATGTACCTGGGCTGCGGGCACATCCCCAGTAGGAGATGTGCAGGAGACGGCTGATCGATGTTTCTCTCCCATCGATGTTTCTAACTCTCTATCTCTCTCTCCCTTCTCTCTCCCTTCCTCTCTGTAAAAAATCAATAAACTATTAAAAAAAAAAATAGATAGTCTGGAATACAGTTCATGACTTCTTATGCTAGTCTTCTCTGAGGAAGGCATATTTAAGACAGAATGTCTTGAGAAGATCATAAAGGAGGGTACCACAGAGAAAGAAAAGCGAAGGGAAGATCTGCAGAGGGAGTGAACTAGGACGATTGGAAGAAAGGTCAGGATGGCTGGAGGACAGCGAACAAATAGGGGGGAGATAAAGGAGATAAATCCCCAGCAAGAGGTAGGGGCCAGGTCACGAGGACAGGGAGATGATTCCTGCATTTGGCAAATGGAGATTATTGGTGGTTTTAAGGAGCTTCTTTATTTTGTGGCACATTATCCTCATTGGTCTATGCAAGGCCCTTCTCAATATCTCTCTTCTTTCTCTCCCTCTCTCTGAAATTTTTCGTATTATCCTGTACCTCCTACAGAAATTCTAAAGTTTAACTTTTCATTGGTGTGGGAGCTTGTAAATATGTGTATTATTTTGCATGCATATATTATGAATTTGTAAATTCATTGTTATATATCTAATTTTGTTTCCCTTTTTACCATATATTTTTTAAATCTTTATTGTTGAGAGTATTACAGATGTCCCCCATTTTTCCCCCATTACCCCTCTACCTGGTTTCTGCCCCACCCCAGGCCATTACCACTCTATTGTCTGTGTCCATAGGTCATGCATGCATGCATATAAGATCTTTGGTTAACCCTAACCGGTTTGGCTCAGCGGTAGAGCGTCAGCCTGCAGACTCAAGGGTCCCAGGTTCGTGCTGGAGACTGATCTAGTCAAGGGCATGTACCTTGGTTGCGGGCACATCCCCAGTGGGGAGTGTGCAGGAGGCAGCTGATCGATGTTTCTCTCTCATCGATGTTTCTAACTCTCTATCCCTCTCCCTATCCCTCTCCCTTCCTCTCTGTAAAAAATCAATAAAATATATATTTTTTTAAAAAAGATCTTTGGTTAATCTCTTCCCACCCACCCCCCTTTCCCTCTAAGATTCCTCAGTCTGTTCCATGTTTCAATGCCTCTTGTTCTATTTTATTCATCGGTTTATTTTGTTCATTAGATTCCTTGTTTATTTTGACTTTTAGATTCAATTGCTGGTAGGTATGTATTTATTGCTATTTTATTATTCATATTTTATCTTTTTCTTCTCCTCCTTCTCCTTCCTCCTTCCTCCCCTCTCCTTTCTTCTCCCTTCTCCTTCCCCTTTCTTCTTCCCCTCCCCCCTTCTCCTTTCTTCTCCCTTCTCCTTCCCCTCTCTTCTTCCCCTTTCTCCTTCTCCCTTCTTCTTCCCCTTTCTTTTCCCCCCTTCTTCTCCCTTCTCCTTCCCTTTCTTCTTCTCCCTTCTCCTCCTTCTCCTCTTCCTCCTCCTCACCTTCGTCTTCCTTCTCCTCTTCCTTCTTCTGAAAACCCTTCAACATTTCGTGTAATACTAGTTTGGTGGTGATGAACTCCTTTAGCTTTTTCTTGTCTGTGAAGCTCTTTATCTGACTTTTAATTCTAAATTATAGCTTTGCTGGGTAGAGTAATCTTGATTGTAGGTCCTTGATTTTCATCATTTTGAATATTTCTTGCCACTCCCTTCTGGTCTGCGAAGTATCTGTTAGCTAACAGTCCTATGGGTGCTCCCTTGTAGGTAACTAACTGCTTTTCTCTTGCTGCTTTTAAGATTCTCTTTTTGTCTTTAACCCTTGGCATTTTAATTATGATGTGTCTTGGTGTGGGCCTGCTTCTTTGAACACCATATATATTTTTAAAAAATATTTTTATTGATTTCAGAGGGAGAGGGAGAGAGAGACACAAACATCGATGAGAGAGACATGGATCGGCTGCCTCCTACACACCCCCTACTGGGGATTGAGCCCACAACCCCGGGCATGTGCCCTGACTAGGAGTCAAACCGGGACCTCTTGGTTCAGGGGTCGATGTTCAACCACTGAACCACACTGGCTGGGCTGGTTTATAACTTTTGAGTAGTAATCTGCAATGCTATGTTTTGTCTATTCACTTAGTGATGGGCACTCAAAGTGCCTCCTGCTCCCCCCTTATCACCCCAGAGCAGCTATGAACATACTCATTCATGTGTCCTTTGGATCTGTGTGAAAATGTATTTGGGACAAATACTTAGGTTAGAACTGTTGGGTCCTAAGATACCCATACACATTAAGGGGCTGCTCTCCAGAATAGCTGAAGCAGTGCATGCGAATTCCTGTATCACTTCCTGCCCTCCACTGCATTGCCACCACCAAATCCAGTTTATTTTTTGCCAGGTATTATTTTAATTTGCATCTCTCTGATGACTAAGGAATTTGAACATCTTTTTTATATGCCTGTTAGTTTTTTAAATTTCCTCTTTGTAAATTTCCTGTTTATAATCATTGTCTATTTTTCTATTTGTCCTTCCATTTCCTGTTTTTCTCTTGTTGAATATACAATAATTTATTTTCTTTTTTTAATTTAAATTCTTTATTATTTAAAGTATTACATGTCTCCTTTTCCTCCCCATTGACCTCTCCCCAGCCACTCCCACCCCCCAGCACATACACTTACAATAATTTCTTATCAGTGAGGAAAGAATGAGTTATTCAATAAACAGTTTAAGATAATTACACAGGGATATGGAAATGAATAAAATTGTATCACATGAATAAAATTGTATTCACTAGAAAGTATAAATTTCTAGTGAATCAAAGATTTAAATTTAAAAAATGAAACCATAAAAACTTTAGAAGAAATCACTGAGATTTTAAATAATCTCACACTAGAGAAGGCATTTACAAGTATTTTTATAATTTCAACTATTTAAAATAAATTTCTGATGACAGGAAAATAGTCTTTCAACTAATAGACATGACAAACTAAAAAAAAAAAAAAAATTGCAACACATTTCACAAAGGATAAATTTCCCTAATTTATAAAGAATTCCTATAGATCAAGGAGAAACAATAATAATAACCTAA